ACACAGAGCCAGAAATGTGGAGACTGGGGTACACAGAGCCAGAAATGTGGAGACTGGGGTACACAGAGGCAGAAATGTGGAGACTGGGGTACACAGAGCCAGAAATGTGGAGACTGGGGTACACAGAGGCAGAAATGTGGAGACTGGGGTATGCAGAGGCAGAAATGTGGAGGATGGGATAAATACAGTGAGATGGGTACGGAGGCTGAGGAATACATGGAAAGTGATGTGGGAGCTGCGGTGTGCGGAGGCAAGGATGCGGAAGACGTAGTATACAACGCAAAGCGTATGTGTGCTGTGGTATACATGGGCAATGATGTTGGGGCTGAGATATATAGAGCGACATGGGTGGGAAGCTTGGGTATATATATATATATATATATAATATATAAAGGCAGTAATGTGAAGATGTGTGTACAGAGTGACATGTACGTGGAAGCTGGAATAAACAGCTATGAGGATATGGGGCTGGTATATTGAGAGGTATAGGCATGTGGAAGCAGGCAATATATCAAGACAGAGACATGAAAACTAGAATATACAGCTCTCACAGTCCCTAACCTCTTCCCCTTCCTCGCGCCCTGTAAGCCACCGTGCGAGTTCGCGCGGCAACCTGAGTTAATGCGAGCGTAATGTGATGTGAAGCCGAGATCACAGCTCTGCATAGCCTTAGTGGCGCTGCGGGAGGAACGACGCAGATATCGCGCTCTACAATCTCATTTTAAATAGAAGATTGCCGCGCGGCCCTCTCCGCTCTCCGCTCTGCTGCTCCACACCGTGGTCGCATTACGTCGCGTAAACCTCCACATGTGCGTCGTCTTTCTCTCTCGGCGTCGCGGCTGCAGCGAATTCGCGCGCGCCGGTATAATGCATCGCATTTTAATGTGCGCGCCTAAGCCGACGTCGCAATCCGCCAGCGCGTATTATTAATCAGTTCTTCGCGGAAACGTAAGGTCTGAGCTGAACTCGACCGACGGCAGGCGTGCGTTGGTGCATGCAGGCAGGCCGGCGGGGCGAGAGGAGGAATGCGTTCGTCCGTCCTCGTCCTGATCCCGCGCCGTCTCCCCCGCGCGCGCTTCCTATGCTAATAACGCAAGCTCTCTCTCTCTCTCTCTCTCTCTCTCTCTCTCTCTCTCTCTCTCTCTCTCTGTCTCTCTCTTTCTCTCTCTCTCCCTCTCTCTCGCTCTCTCCCCTTCTCTCTCTCTCTCTCTGGTTAAATCGCAAGGCAATCTCGTCAGCCAGGCTTTGGACCGGCGGTCGTAGTGCGTAAGGCGACGCCGCAGTGTTACACGATTTATGCGTGAATGTTTGCGGTCGGGTTTTAAAGGTACCTCCCTACTTAAATTGAGTCGGCGAAAGTAAACTTGGTATGTACAGCCCCCCCCCCCCGTATTCAGAGAAAGTGCTGATATTAGAGTTTGACGTGCTTGAAAGTTAACCGCAGGTGCTATATAATCTATAGATGCTGTGTCGCGCCGCGGTGCATGCATACTGATGTTCCCAGACACGAATGTTCTGATGTTCTGAACGATCCTTTCAGGTTATAATTGCTATCTATGCCGCACTAGATGTCACCACAGGCACACGCGATGACAATATTTTGAGAAAGTAAAATTCTAATGGTCGCACTCGCAGCGCCTTCGGATAAGTATGGTCATAATGACAGCCAGTTTCGAAGTTTACTCTAAAACTATATAAATGCGGTGCAAAACAATTTTCCTGACGGCAGCGATAAATTTTCCGTCTCTATATCCGCGAACATATATGCCTAGTTTAGTGTCTGCGCAACGCACAGAGCTATCTATCTATCTATCGATCTATCTATCTATCTATCTATCTATCGATCTATCGATCTATCTATCTATCTATCTATCTATCGATCTATCTATCTATCTATCTATCTATCGATCTATCTATCTATCTATCTATCTATCTATCTAT